GGTCTCAACATGTTCCAGTATGGGTCTTTTGCTTCCAAAGAAGTCACAGAATGCTAGGGTTTGTGCTTTTGATTATGAGGGAACTAGGAAATTTAACACAGCAATTTCCTGTGCAAAGGATTGCAGCACGGCTGTGACTTTAAATTGCCAAATCCATCACCAACATAGGCAGGGTGAAATCCTTTTGTGCTTCAATGCCAAGCTACCCTGCAGCACCCACAGAGCCTTACCTGGCACAGGAGCTTCCTAAACTTTCTTACATTGAGCTGGAGGAGCCCTACTGTGCCTTGCTGGGCTGCAGGAAAAGCTGGGCACTGACAGGGATGCAGGAGGTAGGGACTAAAGCTCCTTCCCACATGGTTTCCAGTGAGATCTGCTTTGGGTGAGTCCAAGGTTATCAAACTTGTCTTTTAATCAGGATCATATTGGCATGCACTAGAAATGATCTGAAACCATTGTGGCCATAGCTGGGACCGCCTGCTAAACTTGAAGCAAAATATTAACAGTTTCACTCCCTGGCAACCTCCATTGCAGGTGTATTCTGAAGTAAAGCATGAGAGCACCTGCCACCCTTACAGATGTTCAGCATGGAAATTGCTTGGACACTTAGCTTTAGGACTTGACTCCTGTAACATTGCTCACAGAATATGAAAGTCATGCTTGGCCACTCAAGTGGAAAGCTCATGAAGGCTCATTTCTCAAGGCCTCAAAAGGTCCTTCTTGCTTTTACGATCTCTTATTTGGGCCAAGCATGACCGTACCCAGTCAGCAGGCATGGCACGGCAGCTGAGCCTTGCATGAAGAAGCATGGGTACACGTGACTGAAGCAAGCAAAAGATGGTTCACTAAGAAAAGGTTACTTCAAAAAAAGCCACAATCAAGAAGGTCCTACAGCAAATGCACCTTTGATCAGTTTTCAAGGAGGTCGTGAATATTCTTTCACAAATCTAAAATGCCCTAATAAATTCCATCTTTAATTTCTAGGTTTTATTATTAAATGAAGGAGAAGAATAAAGGAAAGAAGTGTAATTAGATGAATGTGCACACAACAACTGGCAGGGAGGAATTTGTTTCTGTTTTAATCAATTCAGCATCGAATGACCATTTCCTTGGAATACCTTCAGAGAAGCAAACAGGTAGCAAACACAGGGATTTGACAACACAGTAATCTGCTGATTGTCACTTGGATATTCATAAGGAACAAATCTCTCCCACCTTTAGATTTTATACCATTTGTTATAAGAAGTCATAAATAATTGAAAGTCACGTGATAAATTATTCAGCTAAGCGCACAGTTTCCAAGGAATCCTAGCATGAGTCTGGATTAAAGCTATAATGCAAGTCAGATGCAGCATTTGAGCTGACACCCCACAGGGAGTTTGGCACTTGCCAGTGTGTCCTTTCCTCCACAGGGACACATAAATACCATGTGAATATTTATGAGCTAGAAGTCCCTATTGCCTACTGTGTACTTCAGCTGCTTGCCCATACATGGTTATGAATCAGTGACACTTAACCCAGAGCTTCCCTTGGCACAATTGATTAGGACATTCATTTTCTTCAAGTGATGGCACTGTCCCTCAAGACTACTGCTGAACTTATGTCTGCTGTAAAAAACTTTCTCTTTAACCAGAATTACCTGTTATCATTAACTGAGAAGATATTCAGGTGGACAAGCATAGAAGTGACTGCAGGAATATTATTTAGTTATAAAAATGCTGGTAAATCCTGATTCTTTCTTTATATAAGCCAAGTTATCTGCTCTGGGTAGGTCTAGGTCCATAATGTCCAGGAACAAATAAATATCAAGTAATCCACAAACTAAGACATCGTGGAACTAAGTAAACTGGAACTAAGAAGTTCACTTTTGTACAGATGTGTCTCTGGTGCTTAACTGACTTCAGGATTTAAGATATGAATTCTGATTCTTGTTTCTTCCAAAAGAAGAGGGGAAATTTATAATCTCTCTCCTGTATAGATTGTTTAGTACATAAAAAGCTTTGCTCATAGTGAAGAACCTCCCAGGTTCTGACCTTTCTGTCTCTGAGGGCATTCTTTTTGTTCTCTGCTGCTTTCACATAAATTGCAGGGACCTCTATCTGAGATATTTAACCCTGTCATACTCAATGAGAATCATATAACAGGATCAAAAGTTCTTGCACTAGAAAATAGAATGTACAAAAAAATCCCAAACAAACAAACACAAAAAACCAAACTAAACAAACAAATAAAAAAAAAAAAACACAAAACAAGCCATACCACCAGTTAAGAAGTTAAAGCAACAGGCAAATAATGTGTCATACAATGCAACACTCAACACTTAAAAGGGACTTATAGTAAGGGACCTACATATGCTACTATACTTGTGGTATTTCATAACCTTATTGTTTATAGGGTAGGCAAGTCAACCATATCATACTGATCTAGTATGATCTGAGAAGTCAGTAGTCCTGATCTCATCCATACAAAGAACTGGAGAGAAGCATGAAGCTGGCATGTACTTCTTAGAAAGACAGGCACTGCTGGACTGAGCAGCCCTGAAAGTTTTATGTGAAATAAATCTGTTAGTTTGAGGTATGCCCCAAATAAACAATTCTTTCTCCTTCCCAGCTGATGCCGTTCTGTATGTAACACTTCACTCACTCCAGGTGTGAACCTTGAGAGGTAACAAAATACAAAGCACAACCTAAAACTGCTTCTAGAATCATGCAGAAGTTTTGCTGAGCATACTTGAAATTACACTGTTTGTCTCTGCATTAACTCATTCTGTAGACATTGCACTAATGGAAAATCAAGACATATATCCCTGAACAGTTTCTGTATCAATATGTCATTTTTCTTGGGAGTTTTTATTCCTATGATTTATTCCTATGTTTTTCGTAGTGCTTTAGACTATAGCAGTTTTCAGGAAATTATCTGTGGTTGAGTTTACACAGTACATAACGTTTGTCTCAGCACGTTCTAGATCACACAGAGTCACAGAATGACTAGGCTGAAGAGACCTTCAGGATCATTGAGTCTAACCCATGCCCTAACACCTCAACTAAACCATGGCACTGAGTGCCACATCCAATCTTTTAAATACATCCAGAGATGGTGACCCCACCACCCCCCTGGGCAGACCATTCCAGTACTCTATCACTCTTTCCATAAAAAACTTTTTCCTAACATCCAACCTATATTTCCCTTGGCACAGCTTAAGACTCTGTCCTTTCATTTTGTAAAATCATCTCCAAAACAATAAAAATAGAATTCTAACTCTGCTGAGGTCACAGTTGTGTTGTTTGTGGTTTTTTTCTGTCAAAGTGCCTTTAGAGCTTATTAAGATTATTCTTTTTAACCATGTAAATTTTCATTCAAAAATATATATAAAACACAATTAGCAACCAGTACAGTTCCATATGAGATTATCTGAAAGCAGCATTGAGAATGTGACTTCTAGCATATTTTACCACCCTAAGAAACCAGTATTTCTAAATCCTACTCAATATCACTATGCTACCTGTGTTTTCATGCTCACCTGGGAAAGTATTTTTGTCATCCATTAGCATATAAGTGGTAGATATTTATATATAGATATTTATATATAGATATTTAGGGGGATCCCCTCCTCGATCCACGCTTGAGGCGTGGAAGAAATGAACTGTGATAGGCGAGCACCACCTCGTGATGGAAGGCTTAAATACAGCATTGCACACCTTAGAGCATTTGGGCTGGTTAAATACTGGTGTATTTCTATTGTACTGTGGTCACAAAAACTGAAAAAAACATTTAAAATAAAACCAAAAATATGTCATTTGATATTCAGTCTCTGTCCTGAAGATAGCAGAGGATGCACTCAGGCTCATCCCTAACAAAATGCAGGCATGAAATGCTGCAGGTAGTGAATGTTGGTTCAAAGTGCTCACTCATAATTCTTCAGAAAAAGAATTAAAATAGCCACTTAAAAGCTTAAGGCATGTTCCTTGTTTTTGAGGTTTGGCAGGTTGTGCTATAGCAGCAAATATGTGAGACCCACATTTCACTGTACTGTGAATATTCCAAGAATTAGCTTAGTAACATCTGAATTCTGAAGCATCTTAGAAGCTCAGGTAGTTCCTGTCACCCCATGTGCATGATAGACTAATATAATATAAATATATATTATAATATAATATAAATAAATATATAATATAATATAAAAATAAAATGAAAAGTACTCTTTATTGCTTTTAATGAAGTATTTCATTTTTTTTGAGAAAAGTATAGCTAAGGCAATGAGAGAGTCAAAACTGTTTAAGCAATGTGAAAAAAGCTAAGAGCTTAGTGGAACCTAACCCTAATTCAAGGTCCTGAGAAACTGTCAATTGACGTAGATAGAAAGCAATCCAATTATGTCTTAGTTGCACACTTATTAAAGCAATATTGCCAATAATGTGCGGCCATAAGTAGCAAAAGTGAGGCACATATGAATCTCCATCAGTAAGGACCAATAGAACCCCTATTTAAAGGAATTATGTATTTCTGGCTGAGGAGCAATTTGATTAGAAGTTTCTGACTTTAGACAAAGAGCCTTACAAATATTTTTGGATAAAACAAAAATATTTATAGTTAAATTTCACTTGGTCTAAGTATCAAGGTAGACAAACACAAACCCACATACAGGAATGTCAACACTGAAAATGTTCTTTTGTCATTGTGGCTTCAGGATCCCAAAGGGTTTATCAGTAAAACTGATGAGAGTAGTCCAAATTCAGGCAAGCTAAAAAAAAATCAAGTTTTGCTGGCAACTTAAAAAAAATCAAACCTCCTACCAGTTAGGTATACAGCAAATAGAAAGGTGTTTACTGGAATTTCTGTAACTCGTCTGTTTCTACCTTAGATACTCACTAAAGTTAGACAGTTAAGGTTGCAACATAACACCAAACTGAGAGATGAGACACAAATACAAATAAAATATCTACAATGCAAGAAATATCTTCCCAACATTTTTATTTAAAGCATATGAAGGGTTTACTTACAATTCTTTTCCTTGTTTTGCTTTTCTGTCATTAACCAAATACACACTTCCAAAGCTTCCATTACCAAGTTTCCTCTGAATAGTGTATCTTCTGGCAATCACAGCATCTGAGCAATCAGAATTAAATCTGGCAACAGTGACATGCTTAGCAGTTTCTTGAAATTTCAGCATTTCTCTGTGCAAAAAAAAATGACACACATTTCTCAAGGATGTAGCTTTCAAATCCTTTTATTCTTCCATGGACGTTCACAGAAATCACTTCAAACAGAAATATATTGATTTATATTGTCAATGTATTATTCTTATTAAACTTCTCATTTAATTCTGTGGCAGTATTTGCAGCATCCAGCTTGCAGCAAACACAAATTAAGTGGAATCATTAGCTGTTAAACTGCAGGCAGCAGACTTGATAAACAAACTCCAGATAATGTAGATGTGACATAGTCAGTCTTTCTCTAAATCAAGCCTAAATTAATTCACTGAACTAATAGCACAGTTCCCCTAGATATGGCACTCTTCCTCACCACCTGTCTTTATACCACCACAGTACCTGACACCAAAAGTATCTGCATTTCAGGATACTAAATTCAAGATTTTTGTACATATTGAAGCATAACCTCCACCCATAATTTCTTTCCCATCTCTGTTTTCTCTCCTCTTTCATTTACCCCTCAGATTTCACCATCTGTTCCAGTGCTGACCTCACAGCTCTTCTGTGACTCACTACTAGTATCTTCTGCAAATTAGTTTCACAGAAAATCTGCAAGACTTTCAATAAAACCCAACTCTCCTTAAAGCTCGTTTCTCTTTCACTGTATTCTTCCATGACTCACCTTTCCAACAAGTTAGCTTTGGTTGGGAATTCTTGTCTGAGGTTCTAATTCTGCAAACAAAAGGTCTGCAAAGGCCAAGCTCTAGAATTTCTATGCTTTTTGTTTTTATGTTTTCAATATAAACTCATAAGTTTAGAGTAACTTTGTTTACTTTGTTTAGAGTAACCCAGCCTTCCTCATTCCAAATGAAAAAGGGGAGGTGTTTCACTGCTCATAACAAAACAATATTGCTTTCATTACTTTGTCTTTATATAATGCTACGTGCATCATCATTTTGCATGAAGATCTTTTGGAGCAAGTAAAGGTCTTGCAAGGTCAGTGCTACTATTGTCACCATCCATCAGCACTGCAGAGCAGCAGGCCCACAGTGGCCTTGTTCACATTATTTCAAGGCCAAGGCAAACACATAAACAGGATTTTCGTTGTGGCGGTGGTGGTTTTGGAAGAGCAAAGATAAACTGCCTAATTTTAAAAGCTGTACAACTTTAGGTTCCAAGTCATTGGCTTCTCTTCCAAATGAATGCAGAGCCTAAATTAAGATTACAGATTTGTATCTTGCAACAACAAACTCTGTTTGTGTGTGTGTATTTGTGTATAGGCACAAGAACCTCTTTTCATACCCATCTGCTGAGCTGCTGTCTCGCTACACCAAAAAGCCTGTCACCATGTTAAACAGATAAACTTTAATTACTACAGGACATCTTAATAATACAAATCCTGCATGTTTCTTAAACTGCAGCACTCCTAACAGTGTTCGTTTTTTCTCTTTCAGCAACACTGACAAAAATTTTGAAATGCCAATGCTAAGGAAATAATGCCAGCTATAAAATTATTTCTCTGTAACTCCAAATCTGTCTGAAGGAGCCCAAATGGATCATGTTGAGGTGTAGAGAAGGGGAGGGCAGAATGATGACCTCCATAAAATATTATATTACCAATTCTATAAAGTTTATGCAATTTTCATTCACTGTTCTATTCTCCTAATTTCTGTTTTATGCATGCCTTCATAAATTCCTTTAGAAAAACTGCTGAGCCATCTATACCTATTTTTCTTCTTTCTGAAGTCAACACAGCTCACCTTCAAATTTTCATACTTTCTTGGGCCTACCTAGGAATGTATGACAATCCTCTAGACCACAAAACCATGTTTAAGATCAAGTAGCTCACAGAGTTTAACTTCTGTGCTTTATTTCTAATAATACCTCCCATATTTTACTCTCTATGCTTCAAATTCCCTCCCTACATAATAATAGTAATAATTATCATGTAACTTTGTGAAATGCTTTAGCATTTAACATTCTTCAGGCTACTGCTGAAGAGTCTTATAAGGCAGGGGTCAGTGATTGCCATTGTAGCATCACAGGTGCATTTTAATGGAATAGAAGAGGTGAATTGCTGGCACTGCATCTGAAAGAAATGCCTTTTAAGAGCCAACAGAGCTGAAACATTGACTCAACCACAAGACTGATGGATTCTTCAGGAGTATATGAAGTACAGGCTCTCCAACCTCACTCAAACCTCTAGCCCAACCTTCCTTGTGCTCCTTTTGCACCAGTGTCCATCTCCCACTGAACAGCTGTTTCCCAAGCAGCAACATCAATTGCTTCATTAATGTTCAAAACAGCTGAACACAAAGCAATCACGTCTGCAGCTCTCTTTTCCTAAAAAATAATCTCAGTATTCCCTATCCAGTACCTTTGGGAAGGAGTTTCCTTAGTCCCATCCACCATTCCCAAGTCCCATCCCAGAGCCAGGCAGCTGGCTGCTGCTAACTCAATGCAATTACATTGTCTGGATCACTATTTTTAATATTTTTTTTTCCTTGGCTAGAGTTAAATCTTCTTTTTTTGTGCTGCAAACTAAAGGAACGTTGCTGGTTAGTGTTTCATAGATCCACCTACACATGGGAAGCGCAAACCACCTCAACTTCTTTCCTGACCTTTATTAGTTTCTGTAAGAAAAATTAACCTTCAGGTTTCTTTAGCAACAGCTGTGATACTCTGACATTTTCTGCTTCCAAGATAATCACTTCTTTGCCAGTCAAGGCCGTTTTACAATTTTATCGGGTGTTTTTTAACATTTGTCAGCCTCTACCCCCTGCAGCACAAATTCTAAAGTCTTTATATTTAGCTCTAAGTATCTTCAGTATTTACTACCTTGATATTTTTCCTGACGATGACTTCACTGGCCCACTCCTTCAAATGTTTTGACAATTCAAAAAATGAGATTTTCCTTGTTTTTTCCTTAATAGGGGAAAAAAAAAAAACAAAAAACAAATAAAACCGAAAAAAACCCAAACAAACAAAAAAAAACTTTTTAACACTGGCTCCATGATTATTTTCTGCAACATCTTTAGAAACTTACCCAAGACTGAAGTGACATCATGTCACTTAGCTCGGTTTTTTACTGCTCCTAGGGAAATGATAACTACATTTTATTATTAGTGCTGGAGGCAATCTAACTTGAGGGTGACGGTAAAACGGGGTCAAATGTACTCGACTATCAAATGTAGTATCTCCCTGAGGCACATTCGGGAAGCCCAGATCCCCTAGGATAACCTCAACGATGTTATTACCTTGCTACAAGACCGTGTACAAGACCAAAACACAAGTTAGCACCCACATTCCACCACAGCAAGGGGCGAGGGCGGCGTTCCCGTTCCGGAGGGCTGCGGGACTCCCCGGGAGCCGGCTGTGCCGCGCGTCCCCGCCGCTTCCCGTCTTGACAGCGGGGCTGTGGCGCCTCAGGGTGTCCCGCGTCCCCTGGGGCTGGCCCGGGG